TTGTTCTGCTCCTCCTGACATCACCTCAACTGACTACGACAATATAATCTGTATGTAAATACCATAATCAAAACAGAGTGCAGCATCGTTGAGAGAATCCCTTTCGGGGTACTTGGTCGCTTGAGAGAGAGGGTCCCATTTCGTTAGTAGATGTCTCATCTAGCTGTGAGAGTAACTTTTTCGAGCCATCCGTGAAATTCTCGAAATTTCCTGTCACTTCCAGATGTTACTGCTGTGAGAACTCCTCTCGCTTCCTTTCCAAAAGTGTCCTGCCATGGAATAGGCAGTGATGTGATATCCATAACGAAGAAATTCCTGAACTACTTGAAACTTCTCTCCAGATTAACGAGGTTACTGTAAAATTTTCCCGACTGGCTGATAAGTGCGCATATCACGCTCATCATCAAGAAATATCAGCAGTACAAGGATCATCAGGATCAGTAAGTTTCCGCCATTCCTTCGGCAATACAAATCGATGTATGAGCCGGATATGAAAGTGCTGCATCAACGACAGCTTCTCAGTTAACCACATGATAATGATGATAATGATAATGATTTATTACCTGTCATGCGCTTACGTGTAATGAGGGTACCAAGAATCTCATAACAATTGTGTGACTTTTCATTACGATGTGAGTTCAGAAAAACAATTGGATTATCTTGAAGAGATTGTTGGCCACCAATTGAGTTATGTAAAACGTCCTGCGACACCAGCTGCAGACTTCTGGCGCAATTCGGCTTGATAAGGGGTCAAGCTAAGCTTCTACAGGCTATTGATTCTGAAGCGATCGCGCAGCGATCCCTACGTCAGGAAATTATAGTCAAAGAGTTGGTTGCCTTCGTTCCGAGTTGGTCGCAATTATCGAACTGTTTTCCCTGTGGATGCCACATAAGACTGCGTTCATACTTTGCTGCAGGGTCCACCAGCGACCTCTAGCTTCCTGAGTGTCCGGCACCAGAAAAGTAGCGTCTGTCAACGTTTACCAACGTCCACCAGCTTCACCAGCCACTGAGAGTAGAAGTATGGGGAATTAGGTGCGTAGCAAACAGCTGGATTAGGCGTCGCGGAATTGCGGCGTGGGCAACCACACCACACAACTGCTAACGCACAGAATTATGCAGTTCAATATATGTACAGTCCTCATCATTACGGACTGTCGGGGCGGCACAGCCGCGCTGCAATGTGACGCGACAGCGGCTGCGGCTCGGTGACGGCGAATCAGCTGATTTCCATGGAATTCGGCTGCGAATTCCCACTTTTTCAACTCTTCGAGCTTCGAAAGTGGAAGATGAGTTATTTTGAGCAATTTTAAATTGTACTGACTCCCGAAAGAATGGCAAGCCATTTGAATAAAATCGCCCTGAAACTAAGGTAAAAATTACAAAGGAAAGCATTATAATCCAGATAAAAAAGGAAATCAGAGCCAGTACAATTCAGAGTTGTTCAGAATAACTCACCTTCCACTTTAGAAGCTTGAAGAGCTGAAAAAGCATCGAAATACACCGAGCCGCAGCCGCTGTCGCGTCACAGTGCACCCGACAGTCCGTAATGATGAGGACTGTACAGTGTAGTGTAGTTGTACGGTGCGCTTGCATACACTGCTATTTGCATCTGTTTGCTACCCTCCTACTTCCCCATACTCTCTAATCTCCGGCCGCCTTTTGGATGTTAGTAGACGCAGACAGCATATCTACGACCATTTCATAATCGCTGACGGCCTGTCGAACACTCCGGACGCTGGCGGTCGCTGATGGTCGCTGGCGGACGCTACCGCAAAGTATGAACGCAGCCTAAGAGCTCGAAGCAAATTGTAGTCAATGAACCATCCGGCGAGTTCCGCGGTATTAGTTAGCATTTTCCATCTAGGCTCCTGGATTTTAGGATGTGATCCACTCGCAAGCTTATTTGGCTTGAAGTTTATCGAGTGAGATTACAAGCGTTAGTCCTCTGTTTTGTTTAGGAGTTTTGTTTTTATTATGGCAACCTGGCTTAAATAAACGTCGTAGTTCGATGGCCCGAATGTTGATGCACAAGCAATGCTGAGTAAGGCGGAATTGTTGACCCTGGCTTGGACCTCGACCCACATTTCACCGCGGAAGGCAGGTCTGTGCTCATGACTCAGCATTCCTCAGCTCAGCTTGTAATGTTAGTATAGGAATGAAGCATTACTACCTAGTCTTTGAAAATGCCAACAACGAACGACTGCTATGAGTGAGGGTCTCTTCCTGATGGCATTTCCAAGAACTGGGCTACTCGTAGCCAAATCCAATATCTTTTCATACCAATTTGAGCACCCCACACCCCGGCAACCAACACTATTCCTTTATCACGCACCTGGAGGCGGAACTTTGCCACCTGATGGACTTCCACCTAAAGTATGTACCTATTTCGACGCGTACATCTGCCTTACTGCGAACTAATTGGCTCCTCAAAAAATTATTACCTTTTATTTTACTTTTATTACCTTTTATTTTACATAGGGGAGGACCTGTTACATCCTATGTAAAAATGAACACACAAATTCGTTCAGATCCCCAATGGTCGTTTTTTTCAGTGCGCTCATGTTCATGTACTATATGAGTACCTCGGGGAATGGCTTCGAATTACTGACTGAGAGTCTTTTATAGTGGATGGGTGTGTAATCTGAGGTTGCTTGTTTTTCTTACTGTGGTTTCCCTGTGAATTCACTCCAATCCCCCCCCCCCTTGCCCTCCGCGCGCGTGGAATAGCTTAGATTGTATCAGTTGAGCAGACGAGAAGACCTGACACAAACATACATGCTCACATGCCGACACGCCAAGTTAGTGCCTTATAGAAAAGAGTGGCTACGTAACACGGTTTTTTTGAGGGGCCTAACTCCTGATAATGAGAGCGTGATAAGTACACCACCTGTGCTCATGACGTCCGTGTGTTACCGTGTTTCAAGCAACACTTATCACAAAAACATCATAGATAAGAACAGTTACCGTAGAAATTTTTAATGGCGATAAGCGAGAATTAAGTGAATAAATTAGTTTTCAGTCGTGACAACGAATCACTCAGTGCCCTGGAATTGATGTTACATTTCTGAAATCATCAACAAAGTGAGGGTGCCAGCAAGATTAGTGGTGCAGAGAGGGTTCCATGTTATTTTGTCTCTATGTTCGGCGTTGTTCGGCTTAGGAGGGGTAAGAGAGTTTCTCGCCATGTTTGACTCTCAATAAACCTTGGCATTTTTGTGATGTGATATTAGCCTCAACCTTGTATGGAGTTAAGCAAGAAATAATATCACATCACGACTATTTTTGTGATGCACTAGGACCTCTCACGTCTAACTTCGGCGGGCCTGTAGACTCCTGTCCCTTGTGAAGAAGCTCCTGCTCTACGCATTTTCAGAAGAGCTCACAGATTCCCAAAACATTGCCGGTTTTCGATGAGAATCAGCAAAACGCCCCACTAAGCTGAAGTGTGCCATTTATCTATGAAAAGGCATGACCTTTTCAATAACCTTTACATATGGGTTACTGAGAAAGATATCAGATGATGTAGGGGAATTTCTCCCTAGTACCAGTAAGCCTTTCTTAAGGTAATGATGTGAAAAGGTGAGCGAGGAGTACGCTCACCTCTAGGGGAAATTTCACCAACACATGTCTCCCTTCTCCTCATAAATTCAAAACACACTCCACTCATACTCATATTACTTTTCTAGTTTTTTCCTCTGGTATGGATCACCTTTTCCATTCTGCCTTCCACCTTTTTAAATTCTTCCCAGCCTTCTACCACATCTCCGGGGAACTTCTTCAGTTTTTCCCAGAGAACAGCCGTCCAACAAAGAGTGGGGGGAGGACCATATATGTAAAACTAGTGCATCACAAAAATAGTCGTGATGTGATATTATTTCTTGCTTAACTCCATACAAGGTTGAGGCTAATATCACATCACAAAAATGCCAAGGTTTATTGAGAGTCAAACATGGCGAGAAACTCTCTTACCCCCTCCTAAGCCGAACAACGCCGAACATAGAGACAAAATAACATGGAACCCTCTCTGCACCACTAATCTTGCTGGCACCCTCACTTTGTTGATGATTTCAGAAATGTAACATCAATTCCAGGGCACTGAGTGATTCGTTGTCACGACTGAAAACTAATTTATCACTCAATTCTCGCTTATCGCCATTAAAAATTTCTACGGTAACTGTTCTTAGCACCAATGAAAGGGCAAAGTCAAGAAAAGTCAGGAAGCAGAAAACATTTGTAGCAAAAGCATACAACCCCGTCCCCTCCACCAAGCGAATACGACGTCCTCGCTGGGGTTCTTGATGTATGGAACACTCTGAAGCAGAGAACACTAAGAGTATACGTAAATAAAACTCCAATGTTATGTATTCCACGAATTGAAGTCACTTTTACCGTATAACCAGAAAAGCTCATTCTCAGCACGCAATCATTGGCTATTAAAATATGGATTGCATTCTAAAAAATGCACTTGAATTCACCTGCGTAGTGAGTTTCGTCGATTGTTTCATTAGTACACATTACATGGCAGGTAACTGATCTCATTTGCAATTTAGCTCGATACGGGAGCACTCATATCATCTCAATTCAACAGCTGAGCAACGATGCCTGGTGTTGCAGTAGTGATTGCTAACTATTCCATATTATTCGAAGTATTCTTCTTCAATATCGTCGGCTGTTTCGGCAATGTTCAACTGCTTTGGACAACTTATAGGAAGAAGTCTACACATACCAAACCCGGTACTTTTTCTTCCATAAATAAAAAACTGTCGTACTATTAACTCTTTACTGTTCGAACCTTGCAAAATCAATCTGCTTTTGAATTAATTCGTTTCTGTGAAGGCATGTTCGGCTGAAACTCAGCCTCCAGGGGTAGTTTGACGCCTGAATACGAATATGTATCTCATCCGCTCGGTTCACAACCGCCTGTCGCCCGCGCCACCGGCGACGGCATCTTATGCTAGTCTTCTGCCAGTGTTCCCATTGGTCAATTTTTACTCTAATTTTCTACCCTTGCAAATAATGTTTTAAATTTGTAATTCGTTAATTTTCATTCTACCCTATGTCGCCCTTATTTCGTCAGCCCTACCCCAGCTCTCAGGGTTATCAAAATAATAATGGTTTGTCTGAGGCCGGAAACAAAATAACCAGTACTGTTTTGTGGTAGTTTTTCTACCCCTATCTATTTCTCTACTTGATCCCTGCGCGTAAAGCGACTCGGGGCGGTTCCGTGCCAAACGGTATGCTGTGGGTAACTATTCCAGAAGAGGTAACATACTTTGCGGTTATAAGCGATACTGATTCTCCTTGTTGAGGCCGGTCTGAGCAGAAGAAAGGATCACCGTACGGGTGAGGGGTGCAAACAAGCAGAAACTGCCTTTAGAAAGGAAATCATCTTCGACTTCTTGGCGTTCCATGCCGGTATAATACTCGTGCTCAGGGGTCAATCTACCAATGGTGATCGGTTCTGCGGTGGCTCGGGGTGGTCAAACAATTATCAAAGCACGCTTTAACGTATTGGATTCTGCTCCTGTAGCCATGAAAAAGAACCGGAAAATTCACTCAAAAATCCTGACTTGGTAGTCTGTGAGGACAACATGTCAAAATTGGACGTTTTCAGGTATTCTCCTAGCAATAAATGCTTTCTACCACATAATTTGTCTGATTGGTGAACTGGTAAACGCAGCATTCATTATTCGTGGTGAACATCCTACGAGGGATCGCTGTTATCCACTCATTGTGGTTTACATATTCGCGATTTGTCAGCAGGTTTTCATCACTTTTGTGATGGCTGTTGACTTGCTGATAGCACTTCTATTTCCGATGTGGTATGTTCATTTGAATCTACTTACCGTACTAGGGCAGATAGACATCTTAATTATTTATTTTTGTAGTGCCTTGGATAAGACAAGCTCGATATCCTGAGGACAAATCTATGTCGGCGGTTTGTTTTTGGTGGGGTAAGGCGGCATTTTGCGTCAAGCTACTGTAAGCAGTGAGCACCGTAGATTGAGAAAGTAGCGAAAAGTGCCAAGATGCTCCCCCCCCCTTCCCAAAAGCGCGAAGGCGCCTCCGATAATCATTATCTCGCCCCGGTTATCATTGTCGTATCACTAGCAATATACCCTTTTTAAGGGGTATAATGAGGCGGAGATGGTGCAATGACCAAGGCACAGCATTAGTTAGGGATTTTGGTCGAGCCCGTACGACCCCTCCCTCCTCTTTTATGGAGTTAGTAACGACGCCCTCCGGCCTCTGTCCTTGCCCGCATCGAATCGAGCCGATCGACGGAGGGGGGGGGCAATTACAGTACGCAGATACAGGAAAAATCACAGAAGCCAACCGCCACTCCCACAACGCCAAAACGTAAATACGACCCCCTCCCAAAAATGATCAAATACGACCCCCCTCCCTTTACAACGTCCATGAAGCGAGAAAAATCAACTATCAAAATAAATTTTCTCAGCCCAAATACGACCCCCCCCTCCTGGCGGCCAAATACGACCCCCCCCCCCTGTTGGGGATTCCCCAGCAACGATGTGCCCTGGTAATGAAAGTGGCGCGCGAACCACCCGCGCGTCCTGGGTTCAAATCCCGAACCGACTTCCGCCCAAGACAGTTGAGCCTTCTACCCTCTTGGAACGGTAAATTGGTACCAAGATTCGTCTGGGGGATGACAGAACACTGACATGTACCTGACCCCCCCCCACGTCATTGTATAGCCCACATAGCATTCAAGAAACCACTTCGATTCTGAATGGAAGTAGAATGCGTGCCGTATACTACAAAGGGACTGATTACTGGCGCGAGGTTTCATCCTTTTTTGTAAATAAGGTATAAGGAGACCACATTGTAAGGCTATACACAAATGCGAATTGTGTTCCAGAGAATAGCGTTATCGGTTCAGACTTAATTTTCTTTTATTTATTACTTTCAGGTATCGGAAATGCTCTTCAACGCCATACCTCACGGTTTTTATTTCGGTTGGAACGGCCTATGCTCTTCTGGTTTCAATATGGGGTTTTGTTGCTCAGAATAGTGAAGTCATACTCTTCTGCAATCCACCATTAGGTAGCGACTCTCTATTCGCAACTCAATTTGAACTTTTTGTTATGATATAGATGAAACTTCTCGTAATGAGACAAAGCACCTAGTGCCAAGACGCAACTCAAAAAAAATACTCAAAAGGGTCAGTAGAATTAAGTGACATCATTTTGATATGCTACTTACCTCGGCGAAGCTCAGTGCAACGAGATGGTGGTGTGAAGAAACGGTTCGATTACCCCTCCTTGCGCCCCCCCCCTCTTTCTCTAAAATTGTTCCCCTGTTACGAGCCTGGTCACTGGTTCTGCCAAACCGCCAACTAGTCCGGGGGAAGGCAGTATGGGGCATATGGAAAATCTATACAACGTCTGAATAACCTACTCGAAGCCAACTACGAACACCTAGTAGCAAGAGGGTCAAGGAGGATTTCGGCGAGGGTTGCGAAGGGGGTTGCGTTTCTAGCACGCTTTCTAGGCGTTCAAAGGCTTCTATACGAAGTGCCATGCAGCTTTAAAAGGCAAAAACGCTAGCTTGCAGCTTTTATCATTGTTTTTCGGAACTGAAGGCGAGTACTGTAATTACCGATTGAGGAGCAACCTGACTGGGTGTAAAAAGAGCAACTGTTTCAAGGCCCGTTTAGTTTCGTTCTTTTTCTCTCTACTGTTCTTTTTTTCATCTCTTTTTTCTCCCGGAAACCTCGCCCACCTCACTGGCTGAGCCTTGAAAGGAGACTCGTGAGAGAAAAAGCTCAGCAATAGCAACCAACTGTCGTACCTGATCGCTGGAACTCGACCCCCACTATTAATTTTGAGCATATGTTTCTGAAACTTTTCTATGAAATTCAATTAAATTTAACGGCAGTATTAAACTACGTAGGCACCATTACCATTTACTACTTGTTGCCGTTTAATGAACAGCTGTAATAGGTCTCGAGAAGAGAGTACTGGCTAATGGTAGGCAAAAAAAATTCTTGGAGTAAGATTGAGGTTGAGAGGTAGTTTTTGCACCTTCTTATTCGCTAAATACCCTAACTTTTCCGCGCCATGCAACTGCTATACAACTGTTATTTCTGATGGTTGATTCTGGTAGTTGACGGGTAATGTGACCTTCCCCCGATTGTTCCACGGCAGTTTTTTTCAGGGGGAAAAACCGGACAATTTTCTTTGAAACAAGGAAAAAAGCTGGGAAGGCTGGTAAACTCAAGGATCTAGGATGGGAAAGGAGGCCGTACCAGGTGGGGAAACCTGGTAGGCCTCCTTTTCGGTACTCCTCGATGGAAATGAAGGGGGGGGGGTGGAGGGGACGGTAGGAGGTCTTACTGATATTTCACACATCACAGTACTATACGTTGTTTGCATAACTAGGAGATAAGGCATTTCCTAATCCTCAGCGGGCGAGGAGTTCTATTCGCTTGTCGTTGGGGGTGGGGGTTGTACGCGTTGTTCCTATTTCACTGCTGATTTGTACACCCACCATCCACCCACCTCGACGGCAAATTCTTCGAGAAAACTGAATGTTTTTTGGAAAGTTTCGGCAAATATGGTAGGAGGCTGGAAGATGCAGGATGGGGAGGGCGAGGGCTGGTAGCAGAGGAAATGGAGCAGGGGGGGGGACTCAGTTTCCGAAAATTATACTCAGCACAGATGTCGTAATATTTCCCACCGGAGATCTCATGAGAAGATTTATATTCGAGATTATATCACAAGAATGCTGAGTTAAGGGCAAAAGTCGTGCCTCAGGGGGGGGTCCCCTCATATTTTCCGGGCAAGTGCGCTATCCGTCACGCCAAC